GCCTGGCGGAGCGCGCCGGTGCCGCGACCGCAGACAAAGGCGCTGCCGGCGCCTGGCCGCCGCGCTCTCGGGCTCTGCCGTAGGTAAGTGGCTCCCCCGTCGCTTTCTTTCTTCTCCCGGCTGCCTGCCCCCCTCGGAGTTCAACCGGCGCCGGAGAAGCCGGGGAGAGGGAAGAAATGATACTTCCCGTCGGTCTGCACCTTCCACCTCAGCCTAAAAAAATAACCTTCAAAACAAGAAACCGAGCAGATACCCCACGAGCGAGTTTCGGAGCGGCGGGATGCGTCCTGCGGGCCCGCCCTGGCCGCCCCCCGGGACCCCCTGCTCCTCGGACCGCGCGCGGGTGTTGTCCCCGGGTGGGCGGTTCGCAGGGCAAGGCTGCCGCTGGACTCCCGGGGGAAGTGTTTAGTGGAGATTATAGGAACCGGGTGCCGCGAGGGGACCCCCCCCCACCTCCGGGGACTGTTCAGCGCGTTTTGGGGAGTCGAGGGGCGGTTCGCACTGCGAGTTCAGGTTTGGATCTCGGTGGTGGGGTCTCCGCCGTCCTCCCCTCCAGCCTCCTTCCCGTCTCGTTCAAGGGTTAATGCGGGGCCCTCCGCGCCCCACCCGACGGAGGCGCCCACTCTGCCCCTCCGCGGACCCGGGGCGGGGGCCCGCGAGAGTGGGGCGCGAGGGAAGCCCCGCGGCTTTCCCCAGCTGGGTAATCCCTAGCCCGAAGCTGCTGGGGGAGGGCGGGCGGCCACCGGCAAAGCGTAGGGTTTGACATCACTGCTCGGTCCGGACCGGCTCGCCCAGCCTCTGCCAGGGCTGATCGCCACCTGGCAAGCCTTCGGAAGCCCGCCGGCGTTGGCTTTTGTTCTGCCCGCAACTCTCCGGAATCTGAGGAGAAGCCAGGGTGGGCGGTTGCCCCGGGAGGGGACCGTGGCGCGGGGGCTCCCAGGTGCGGCCCCGAAGTGACAATTGGAGGCGGCGGCCGTTTCCCGCCCCTGGGTGGGGAATGGATCGCGATAGCTAATCAATGCCCGGGAGCACGCGGTGGGTCCGCGGCTCGGGAAAGAGCGCGGTGTCCGCACCGCGGCCGCGCGCTGTCACGCGCCTCTCCAGCCCTGTAGAAAGCGCTCGCTACCTGGAGATGCGCATTTCCATTCATGGATCTGTGCCTGGGCTTTGATTAATGTTGCCCCTGCCCGGGTTCTCTCAGGAGTGAGTGTCTGCTACTATTTGATTTAATAGTCATTTACAGGGGGCCTCCTATATGCAAGGCAGCAGTCCTACGACCACCTTCATTTAAAAGATATTTATCCAGCACCTACTATGTGCAAAGGAGATGTGTTACACTTTTCAACTTAAGAGATATTTATTGAGTACTTACTATGTTCAAGGTAGCTTTGCTGTTACCTTATTTTAATAGATATTGACTGAGCACCTACAGAGTACAAGTTTTTTGTTTTTGTTTTTAAGATTTTTATTGGGGAATTGGGGGAGGGAAACAGACAAGTTGCTATCCTTTTTGTTCTTCAGTCTAGTTGTGGAGAACGTTGCTTCACTGGCCCAAGTTGGCACCATCATTGCGATCTTCCCGGTGGAGGCAGATCACTCCCCTGCTGCTGGCCACTTATGCTGGCTGCTGGCCACACATGGTAGCCCATGGCAACCCACTGCAGCAGGGGCTGCAGCCTACACTGTCTCAGCTCCAGGCAGCTGTTGTTCACTGTCTTAGCTGTAGAGGGCAGTGTCACTGGCCCTCATGTGGGATCCAAACTGGGGCTCTCTGGCATCCCAAGCCAGTTCTTAACCAGCGCGCCACTCTGCCGGCCCTGGTTTTTTTTCTTTGCTGAAGGGTTGCCCGGTGCACTTTGGGAGGGGGGCATAGGGAGACAAGGGTGAGAGAATACATCTTTGGACCCTCGAGTCTTCAATTCCTTTAGTAACCTGCATTTTAACCTTTCTGGACTGCTTGTGTGGCATAGGAAGAGCTTCTATCCTATGGCTGGAGGGTTTGTCTGAGGGGAGCAGGGTAGAATAATGGAAAGGCCTACCCGGAGACCTTTTTCCAATTCAGTTTCCTTACATTGATAAAGAAAGGCAGTTCCTTTGTGCAAAGCACTGTGCTAGTTATTGCAGGGAATCAAAGGTTAATAAGGTAAAGCCCTGCCATTCAAAGGGATGGAGAATCTGTGGTGGGGACAGAAAGATAGGCAAAGGATAATCAACAAAATCAGGAGCAGAGAGGAGAAGCATGAGGATAAAGCCAGTGTGGACCTTCCAGCCCCTAGCCCCAACCAAGCCCCAAACTGGTGACAGCGGTTGGGGTGAGAGTATCTTTAAAATCTCATCATTGAGGTGACAGGGGACCTAGAGGCACAATCAAATGGTCTGAGGGTCCTTCTTGCCAAGAGAGTTGATGGCTCTATTACTCTGATCATCTTGAGGTCCTGAGACACATTGACGTGTCCAGATTGGCAAGAAAACTGTGGGTCCTTAGTCTATTGGCAAATATTTGAACACTTATACAATGTGTGTGTGTATGTGTGTGTGTGTGTGTGTGTGTACATAACTATATATATATATATAGTTACATAACTATATATATATAGTTATATATATATATATATATATATATATATATATATATATATATATATATATATATAGTCTAAGACATGGTCTTTGTCCTAAAGGACCTAACAGATTCTTGAGATAAACACGTAAAATGACTGTGTAGCATACATGAAAAGCCAGGAGCAAACTCCTCCTAGAATTTAATGTCAGGAAAAAAAAAATCTGTCTTCATGGAATTGTGGCTTTCCTTTTATCAGAGTTCAAGAACTTGCTATATGCTTAGTGTGTTTATCTTTTTACTTTGGCCTCCAGCAATTCCTGGTAATTGCTTTTCCTAGCTTCTTGGTACAATGATCTTTTTCTTCTGAAATTATTTCTGATCTCCTATTTATTTATTTATTTTTAAGATTTTATTGGGGAATTGGGGGATGGGAACAGCGCTGGGGAATTGGGGGAAGGGGAACAGACAAGTTGCTGTTGTTTTCTTCAGTCTAGTTGTGGAGGACGTTGCTTCACTGGCCCATGTTGGCACCATCATTGCGCTCTTCCCGGGCGAGGCACATCAGTCGCCGGCTTCTGGCAGGGGCTGCAGCCTACGCCGTCGCCGGCGACTCACGGCAGCCCAGCTCCAGGTTGCGCTGTTGTTCAGCATCTTAGCTGTAGAGGGCAGTGTCGCTGGCCCTCATATATGGGATCCGAACCAGGGCCCTCTGGCGTCCCAAGCCAGCTCTTAACCAACGCGTTACTCGGCCGGCCCTGATCTTCCTTTTAAATTCTTGTAAAACTACATGATATTATTTTTTAAGAACTTGAAAGCCCCCATCAAATCTCTTCTGGAAATAGGTCCATTATGACAGATACATAGGACATATGGTAGGCACTAGATGAATGACTTGGAGAACCTTATAAGAAGAGGGAGGAAAAGCCAGCGGAGGCCAAAATCAGGAATGTACAGAGAAAACAAACTGGGTTTGTAAGATGGAATAGGATTCAGATCGGCAAAGAAGATGAACAAAGACTTCTCTCCCGAATCAAAGGACATGTCATAAGCAAAGGTGTGAAGGAAGAAACAAAACATGTTTGGAGTGCTTCAATTGGAATCGTTTCCTTTCATTCAACAAAGAGGCCCTGCCTGAGCATTGTACTGTGTGTCCATGACTTTGCTAGGGGTGTGTGTGTGTGTGTGCGCCTGTCAGTCTGGCAGGGGCTTCATTGGCACAGCTTCGAGTTCACTGTGATCCCCCTGCTGGTGAGGGCCCTCGGCTCCTGTCCCCGCTGCGATGATCCCGCTGCATCCTACCATTCTTTCAAGCATTCTTGGAGTTTTTTTCACCTGAGCTGAACTTGATTGTAATCTTCTTGAAGGACAAGAATGTGACTTTTTTTTTTTTCTCTGCTTCCTTCCCTCCCTGCAGGCTCTCCCTAGCCTGTGGAATAGGTGATATTTATTTCAAAACCCTGTATTGCCCATTTCTTCATCCTTCCCCTACCTCACTGGGGCCTTGAAACTTTTCCTCTTCACCACTTTCAGTTGCTCAGAGCCTTGATTCACTGTATAAAACTCAGGGGAAAAACAATCTGTCTTCAGTCACTTCCCCTTGAATATAAATGTAGGTCACTGTTCTCTTTGGGGGGCGGGGGTCTTTGCATTTTAGGCCTCGTTATAGAATGAAAGGATTTCAAGCACAGACAAGTGGGTGTTGGAGGTATTTGGGGAGGCAAAGTGCCTTTCCTGGGGCTCTTGAAATTATGCTACCACCTCCTCATGTAGCTGCTGTTGGCAAGGGTCCTTGCAGTCCTATGAACCCTCAAAGTCTGGAGCCTTCATTGCTTTTTAACATGGCGTGGTGGTTGAGGTGAGAGAACAGCTCGGTATGAGCTACCTGTTAACCTGGCCTTCTACTCTTTAAAGGTTAGTCGTTTTCCTGACGGAATCTTAGCTTCTTTACCTACACGTGCCCATTATTTTAAGGCAAGGATTCTCAACAGGGGCACCGTTGATGTTGTGGGCTGGCTAATTCTTTGTCATGGGGGGACTGTCCTGTGCATTGTAGAATGTCGAGTAGCATCCCACACCCCCTCCCT